CAACATATCAATCATTCTGCTAACCACTGTATAGCAAATTTTTTTCATTTTCCAGACAAGTTTGTATTATTATCCAAGTTTTTTTGGTGAAGAAACCAAGGATCAGACATACTGAACAATCAGCTACACACACAGCTAGGACCGGAGCTGGTCCTCAGTTCCGGCCCGGGTTTGAAGCACAGGCTTGTTCTCTCCTTTGCTGTTGCGTCCTTCCCTGACCCCCCTCAAGCCAGTTCCGTGGCACTGCACCTGCCGTATACCTGCTGGGCTCTCCTTTGTTAGGGCACCTCTGCTCACGCTGGGCCCTGTACTAGGAGTCTGCCTGACTACGGCTCCTCCCCCTGCATGCTTTTCCTTCTGCTAGCCTGGTGATTCCAGTGATCTTGTCTGCACCACTCCCTCATTCAACAAGTTTATTAAGCATCCGTTCTGTCTCAGGCCCTGTGCTAGGTTCTGGGAAGACAAAGACAAGTGAGACCCAATTATTCTCTTTAGGGAGCTTATTTAATGCTCCCAGCCCTTTCAGAGATTCTTATATAATAAGGCAGCAGTTACAGAGGCTGGCACCCTCTCTATCCCAGAATGCTCTCTGAAGGAAGGGCTAAAACACAGCCCTCGGTTGCCAAATGCAGAATGGAAAAGGCCATGGGGATGAAGAGAGACAGACAGCCCAAGAAGAGGAAGGGAAGCTGAATGGGGACATGACGAGGGAATGACACATGCCAGCATCACTGTCCCTGCTCTGAGTGACATGTTGGGTTACGGTCTTATACGCCAAGTACTGCATCCACAGCTAAATAACCATTCATTGATCACACCCCACACTGCTGTTCAGTTCAGAGCACTGCCGGCCATGCATAAAAACGGCCTGGTTCTTATGTACTTTTATGTCCTACACTGTTCCCGGAATCTGAACTCCTCTGCTGCTCCACAGAGAGCCTGGCTGATAGAACCTCAAGAATTCTTTGTAAATCAAGCCCTCCAGCAAAAAGGAAATGCGGAGAGACTGGGTGTGGTGCGTTTCTTTCAGGCTTGTTGCTTGCTTTATTTTCCTTGGCTGCATCACCTATTACTATTAGCTACACGGGAATGCTAGGCTCCTTACAGCCTAGAATATGCACACACTTCACCTGTGGTTTCTACCCCAATGTTATCATCATGATGATTAAAAGGCATTTGCTTATAGCTGTGCAGTTGGGAGAAAAACAAAACAGGACCCAGTCACCTCTGACTCTTGTAATTACAGCTTTAACTTGGCTGATGAACGAAGAAAGGTACACGCGGGAGAGAAAGAAGGCAAGGCCGAGGAATGAAGAGAAAGGAGACACAGGAAGGGCTTGGTTATTAGCAAAAGCAAGGCCATACTACAGCATGAAGCAATACATTATTTAATGGGATGAAATGGGCAGCCTGGCCCATTTTCAAATAGACATGCCAGCAAGAGCATCTCTCCGCCAGGGTGGAGGATCTCGGTGGCTCCTGACAATGACACCTCGGTGGGAGGGAAATGCTGTGACCTCCTCTGACCACAGGGGACAAGCTGTGTAACCTTTTTCAGGATTTGATACAACAGTCCCGTATTTTCTTATCACTAGCAGGCACTGAGGACACCTTGAAACACACCACTAGAAAGTAAAAGCTCTCATCAGCTCCATCCCTCCAGCAAGAGTTCCTATGCAGAACTAACGATCATAGTTCATAATTACACTCAAGTCACTCTCCTCACCAGATGGCAAACAAACACCTTCTGGTCTGTGGCACACTGACGTGTGATGTGGGTCCGACTGATCCGATGCAATATTAAGAGAAGGAGCCCTTGAGATAAATTTATCAATACAGACTTCCCATGACCTTTCTTACCAACTTCTAGTTAGTTCTGGGGTGCTATTGAGCCACTTTAGGAACCCAAGTATTTCCTAAGTGTAAAGGATTTTTCGCTAGATGTGGAGGTCTACAGATAAACACCTTTTAACATCAGCTGATTTTAAATCCACAGACTGCTCTTTCTCAGACATTTTCTCAAAATGTCACATTGAATGATTCCAGTCAGAGGCAGAATCTCAAAATCAGAGAGGAATATGCAAGATGATATGGTACAGCCATGCGGACAGCTCACCCGCAGGAGGTAAAGGACTGTGAGCTATTTTTGAGAAGCAGGGGAAGTAAGAAGGGAAGGAAGGAGAATGGGCTTCGGTGGCGTTAACCGCGCTGTTCCCTATTCCTCTCTGAAGTCAGAGAGACGGATGAGGTCGTGCGAGGCTGTGGTTGAGGCTGGGCCCTGAGTCCAGAGAAGCACATGAATGAAATGCATCATAAGGAAACCCACAGGTTCTTTGCCTGGGGCCCAAGGACAGGCTCCTGGGAATTACTTTGCTTAAGAATTCTGACATTTTGCTTAAGAATTGTGTATATGAGATCATGTGCCTTTTTATAGGGAGAGTCTTTATAACTTTTACAAGATTCCAAAACTTAAGAAGTCCTGCATGAGAAAACCAACCAGATGGAAATGGCATTGTCCTGAGACATTATTTAATATTCAGAGTTGTCTCTGAAAGACAGCAAAAGACTTCAACGTCAGTTTTTCCCACGTCCTCCTAAAGTAAAATACAAATCCCTGTTTTTGTCTGGACTAGACACTATTATCACAGATACTTAAAAGCGTATTTTCCCTTGCTTGCTTCTTAAGAGTAAATTCAAATATACAGTAGAAAGTGTATCTCTGAGAGAGATTAAATCTCAAAACTCATGGCCTCTCAGAATGACTCCAAGTTTTAGCATGAAGCTCTGAATTTCAATTGTTTTTAAAAAAATCTGCCCTATAAAACCTAAAGAACACACCTGAGTTTCATCTACGGTGATCCTCATGCTAGATTGGACCAGAGAACTACTTTGCAATGGGGAAAAGCCAGGAAAATAGTTTCCAAGAATCCCACTTCAAATTTCAATAATATAAACTATAGTAAAGATCACATTAAGCCAAATAATATATTAAGAAGGAACATTTTAACTTTTGGAGGCTTACTGTTTAACTAACATAGAGGATATCATATCCACAGTATTCAAGAGGATGAACTTTAGACAACAGAGGAGGCACATCAAAGCTGGGTTCAGAGAGGACAGAAAATTCCCCTGGCAATTGTAACTGGGTGCATGTCATAGGTTGCATAACAGCTCTTCTTTGAATATAAATGTCTTCAATAGTGGAAACACTATGTTGAATCTACAAATCCTCCTTTGTCCAGGGAAGATTCCATCCAATAAATGATCACATTATGAACTTAACTTTTTTTGGCCTAAACACATCACACTCTACACCCTGGAGGCAAAAGGAAAAAGGGCCATCAGATTTCAGATGGGAACAATGAATTTCAGTTTTGAGTAAAAACAGGTAGAATTTCAATTATGGAAATGCACTGGAAAGGAGTCAGAGCATCCAAATGCTCTGTCAGGGTTTGCAAATGTTGTTTAAAAAAGGTAACTTAAAATTCAGGTTTCATTTTTTACAGACTACCTCTGACTACTAGACAGGTCTTTTTATTGCTGAAAAGTTAGTGGAAGAAAAAAAATTCCAAAGAAACTGAGAAAGAGAAGATCTTCACCATTACAACAGGAACAAAATATATCTTCTATACTTCTTTTTACTAAAACAAAATGTTACCAGCAAGTTAGCAGCTTTGAATCAATATGTGAAACTTGGTAATTATTCCTACATGAAGTTTTCAACCTAAAATGCATGTATAAGCCAAATTTTCACTAAAAATAAAGAAAAACTACATAAAACGAGTTTTTATGCACAGCCAAGGAACATTATACATTAAACTACCATTTAAATTCATTGCCCATCTCTATTTTTCCATTGGTAACATATGCTGGTCTTTGAATGGTGCATTAAAAGATTTTACAGTTATTCTTTGGGTGTGGCAGGGGTGTCTTCCTCAGAACCTGGGTCTGCTGCTGAAATACTGATGAATTTAAGATCTCCTTCGTTACCTTCCACTGAGTAGTATATATCATAACTTAGGAATACATGAAGACATGCTCAGATAAAAGCACCACAAGAAGTAGAAAAGAAATAAAAAATAAAATGGGAAAAGTTTCAAAAGTAAAATGGACCCATGATACCTTAACTACAGTTGTGATATGTTCTGAATTTAGCATTTCACTCTTCTTCAGAATACAGTTTTCAAATTACAGTACTCAGATTTCTAACTTTTGTATTTAAAAGTCACCCCTCTGCAGTGATGAATTTAAGTTCTACAGGCATGTAAACCTTGAATTATTACCATATCTCTACTTGGTTGTTGATGAGCATAGGGTACTCTGACATCGTAAGGATGGGTTCAATTTCCACACAGATCAACTTTGCATCTTACTGTCAATGTAAAATCTACACATTCCTCCAGAAGCAACTTGGAGACTCTGCTTTGGAGTCAGACAGATGTGGGCTGGAATTCCAGCTCAACCATTATTAGCCTTGCAAACCTTGTATTCAAGCATCCTTAGCCTCAGTTTCCTTGTTTGTAAAATACAGATAAAACCTGTCTCACACCCACTTCCCTGTGGTAGGTATTGACTGCAGCATGAATGTGATGTCTGTAAAGAAGTCAGAGCACTGTCAGTCATGGAGTAGCACCCAATATATTTGGTAGGAACTAAGCACCTACTTGCTTGCAGACTGAGGTCAGAGCAGGGCATAGGGTACACACAATGTGCAGTGATGGCAGTATGTCTCTAGGCAAAGGCTCTTACTAGTCTCTATCTGGCTTTACCCACTTTAATTAATGATCAACAGTAGCCTAGGATCCTGGGAAGCTCCATCATACACCAAACCTTCCGACAGCCACATTATTTTTTTGGGGGGGGACTTTCGTTTTAACCATCCACCCATTCCCTTACAAGAGTAGCTGAGTGACACAGGAACTACAACACTGTTACCCTATCTCATGAGGCAACTAGCCTATCTCCCTTGAAAAATGCAGTTCATTTATTTTGTTTCTTACCTTTTCAATTTTTTCATCCAGCATTCTGAAGAATTCTTGTTGGCTTTCAGAGATGTGCATGCTGCAAAGCAAAGAGTAGTTAAGTGTATATTTCAATGTTTTCTAAAACCTAGTTCCCTCAAATAAAAAAATGCTGAGTCCTTAAACTTTGGGGCAGACAGTTATTTTCCTGCAGACTTCTCCACTGGAATACTCTGAAGTCACATTAAGGATAAATGTCATTATAGTAATCACACAAACATGTTTCATAATAGTCTATTAGTTCCTATGATTTAAGGAACACAATTTCCTTTCAATGTACACATCATTTATAGCAATGTGACCAGGACACATATATGTGTCACATTTATGAGACACATTTATGATTTTAAGAAAAAAGGAATAGGTGCACAGCACATGACATATTCATTTCTGTGTGCAACTGTAAAAAGAAAATATATCCTAGTTATTACACTGAAATGTGTTATTTTGCAGAAGTTGTCAGCATCAGTTGACTGCATAGGTGTGGGTGAACAAGCTGAGAACCTGACATGTCCCTGAACATGGGGACAGCAAATGCACCTCTCTGGAACTGAAATTCCACTGGGAGATGGGAGTAAGTCGGGGCCCACATCTGAGTGGCACCTGTCCTGTTTGTCTCATACTATTTAACAGCATACTTGGTGAGATGGACATGTGCATGGGGACAAAACAGATGGCAAGGAGAGCAGAGAAGAATCACTGATGCAAAGGGCTCAGGAAGGAAAGGGCCTCCGTAGGGACATGGTCTTAATGACAATGATTCCTGCCAAGCAAACAGTTGTGGATTTCCAGGGAGGTTCAGGAGGCCAGGGTAAGGGACACATGGCACAGTGTTTCTTTTTATCGAAAGCAGGTAATGTTCACTGGTTACAGCAACTGGGGCTCTGGAACAACTTCCGCCCTTCACGTCTATGCACGGTGCGCAGCACACCTGACATGCCCCTCAGTAGCATGCCTCACCATGTAGGGGCCACAGAGAGTGTACCAGTGACCCACAACCCTTCCAGTCTCCTGGGACAGATGATGGAGCTCAAAGGGGGTGTTCCTGACTGCAAAGTCAACACTTAACATCTGGGAGTTCAATGACAGTAGCTCTGACATAAAAGGAAAACACTGAAAACATCTGACACCTGCAATCAACTTCCACAGTCACGAAGTAAGCACCTTCATGGATGTTGTGTAATTACTGCTGCCCTTTATAAGATCATTAAAATTAGGTAAATGTCCTGTTTCAAAAGGAGGCCCTTGCTCACTGCAGGTCAGAAAGGAAGGGCAGAAGAGCCATTTTGCATAGATGAGTTCTCCCAAATTCCTCATGGTTTTACTTCTTTGAGAGCCAAGAAATTTTTTAGTTGAGCCACCTTGGATGCAAATGTTCTAAACTATATATTTTTTAACAGAAGATCTATAACAAACATTACTTCACTTTCACTTAATGACTGGTGGCCACTCGGGTGATCTTAAACTGCAAAGCTCTCCTATAATACTGAGATACCCCCTGGCCCCTGCCTCTATGATGGGTAGAGCAGGCTCTGTTTTAGCAAAATGGCCTTAAACTCCAGGTTTTTGTTCTTTGTCTGCTTTTGAGCTTTTTCTCGCATGTCTCCTTGTCCGAGGAGGTATCAGTCCTTTCTGATTTCTTCCCAGTTGCTTTTTCTACTCTGCGCTTGGAAACAACACAGCCAAGTCTGTTGGAGTTGTGTCTGAAGTAAGCATGATTGGCTCCCAGGGAGAGCCTGGGAGATTTCTCCTGAATGGGTAACGTGAATATTCTGGCACCCATGGTGCTGCTCAGACATGTTTTGGGCATCCTTCCAGTTGGTGGCCAAGCTCTGCATAGATGAGGTTGCTGGGTAGCTCAGGGTCTCAGATAGGAAAGGCATGGATATAAATAACTATATACTGCATGGACCTATGTATTAGTTTTCCTAAGAAATTCCAAGAAACCTCATAAAAATGCCATTTTCAGGATTTGGTGTTCATGGCGGAAACTTTTGGGTTAGAGTTTTTATTAGCATATATTGCCCTGCATGTTACAGGAGGGCAATAAATATTTAATTGACCAAGTGGCCTCTATTTAAATGTTTGTGATTCCTGACCCCTCACAGAGGCAGTACAGCTGGTCTCCAATTCTTCATCTATAAAACCAGCAGGTCCCTTCTGGCACTAACATTCTATGGTTGCTACTAACTTCCATTATCTCCTTTACTAAAATACCACAGCCTGAAAACAGGATGTGTGATTAGTACTCGTACATATGCATAACAGATGGACAGGAGGGGAAGAAGTAACAATGACCCTGCAAATGTATCTGTCATCCCTCTGATGAAGGATGCAGAGCATGGGGGGTCCCCATCCGGGAGCTTGAGACCAGAGGTGACGGTGAGGGCTTAAGGTGCACATGCGTTAAAGCAGGCACAAAAACGTCAGTGGTTTCAGTTGTGTGCAGGTTAACTACATACTTCCTAACCACTAAAAAAAGGAAAATGTCCCCTGTTTAAAGCAAAATGAACAAAAGTCACCCAACCCAGAATTAATTAGACAAGACAGTATATTTTCACCCTCCCTGGAATCCTGAACCAAGTATTAGCCTTACCCTGTCTGGGGTAGGGGGTACAATGGTCAGGAAGTAAATGACCATTTTCATACGTGCCTTTTGAGAAACAATTCTAACTAAATGCAGGCATCAGGCCTTCCCCGTGGGCATCACTACCATCGCACTCCGCTGACAGAGAAATGCTGCGGCCTGCTTTCTGTGTCTGAGTGTCAGAACATCCCTGCCGGCCTCCACCTCACTTCAAGACTCAACCCCCAGACTGAGTCACTACCTGCCAGCTTGAAATGCAGTATGTGGACTGTGCTAGACAGAGAAGACTGAATGGAAGGGTGATTTATTGATTATCAAGTCCTGATGCTCCAAATGAGTTCTTTCAGATGCACTCCACTGTGCCCGTAAGAGTGGCAGGTGCCGCCAGGTGGAGCAGACACCCGCATGAGGTCCTGGTTACCTGCGCATCGACTTCGGTATGCGTGACCTCAGAGCCCAAGGCTGACTCGGCTGATCTCCACGTGTTCATTTCAGAGAGAAGCCAAACCCTTAACCCTCTTCAACAGGGGCAGAGACAGAATTTTTGCTCTGATGGAATAAATGACCCCATTATCAACTGACTCCTGCCTGGATAAATACGGGTGCCCTTTCTTCCTGTGGGAACTCTATCAGCGCAGTGGCATTAATACTAATTTTTACCTTCAAAAGTACAAAGCACACTGAGAAACAGTCTGTAGGTAACAATTCCAGTTTTAAATCCTTTCTGACACACAATCTGATGACTGTGAGGGGGGGAGGGAGGGAGGAGGAGGAGAAACACACCAGCTTTTCCATCGTTCCTCCAGATACCAGAAAGGGATGTTTGAATTGTTGATGATTTAGTTGGTAAAGTAGGAATACTTGGTGCTAAGATTAATTAGATCTAAAAATCTTTTATGAAAGCCTGTATGTTGCTACTTGACTGAACTGATACAACTTCACAATTTTAGTAACTCCTATTTCTGTCTAGTAAAGAAAACTCAGCCTTGGAGAACCCAGTGCCGGCCTGGAGCATTTATGGGGCCCCCAGTTGGTGCTGGTGAAGCTCTTCTAAGTTAAGCCTGAGCCATCAAAGGCTCTTCTTTCTGTGACCTCTCAGCTTCATGAGACTTGGGAAGGCAACACTGTGAAATCTTATTGACAAATAATCAAATGAATGAAAGCCTGGGCAAAATGCACTTTAGAGATGAAAGACATACGGCTTTCATTTTTAGTGATTAAAGAAAAATTTTCCAAATAATAAAAACCTAAGCCACAAAAACATGAAAAGGCAAGGTCCTAATACCCTAGTTTTTCACCTGCAAAAATGAATTTAATTACTCAGTGGGTTCCTGGAAAATCTTAGCCTGCATGACTTCTTCATGATCATCATTATTGTTTTTCAACTTGACCTCAGGGTGGGTAAATCCTCACCTTCACATCGAGACACAGCCATGCGTGAATCACTTTTATTTAGTTATTTGTTTTTTAAATAGTATAAGAAGCATCCACAAAAACCGAAAGTGAGGACCACAACAGCTAAGAGCTAGCTTACCTCCCCCCAAGTGTGTTTCTCCAGCGCAAGGGAACCACCATGCCCTCATTTTCTTCATATAGAGACACTACATCCCTTTCCATACTTAAAAAGCAATTGATTTATTTTAGTTGTTTTTCACCCTACAAAAAGTGCACCATGCTTTCTGTAAACTTCCAGGACATTCTTTCTTTCCAGCATTATATTGCTAGGGTTCACCCAACCTTAAAGCGCTGTGTGAATATCGTACAGTTCATTTAACCGATTTCCGTTGCAGGGCATTTGGGTTGCTTGTAATTGTTAAGGCGTTCTTACCAAGCAGCAGACCCTGTGATTAGCACTGGGCATACATTATTTCATTGAATCCTCAGCCCTATAAAGCAGGATTTTTTTACCTCCATTTTTCTCTGAGAAAACTCTGAGAAGCCCAGAGACATTAGGTTACTTGCGTGACATCAAGTCAGTAAGAATGTACTGTACGTGTTGTAGCAAAAGGAGTTGTGAGTTCTCTCCCTTTACCACTAATAAATCTGGATTTATTATGGGTAATAAATCTGGTATAGGATCGTCCTTTCACCCACAGGGGAAAAAAACCTATTATTTTATACAACTGCAATAATATAGTTTCCTTGATTCTACATTTCAGTAAGTAGGGAAAGTAAAGCTCTTCTCTTGCCCTCCAGAAAGATTTTAGTTGAATTCCAGGAATTCAATGCTCTGACTCACAGTTTAAAACACACACACACACACACACACACGAGCATGTTGCTGTGTGGAAAACATAATTTAAATGTAAACACATGAGCCAGTTAAATCAATTTCTTTAAATGCTTTGGCACATGCCAGTCTACAAAGCATGCTATTTCAGTGTCAAAGTTAATAAGTATTTGCTCTAAAAGAGAAAAGAAGTTCTTAATATGATCTTTTTTTAGAACTCAGGGAGAGGAAAGCACTTAAAAATAGCATATATCAAATGACCTGGATCAAAGGATGACTTGGTTGTGTCATCAGGTATCTTATTCCCAAAGGCAAGTAAACTTAGTGTAGATAAATGTGATGACCAGTAAAGTGGACTAGGGAAACTGTGATTATAGGATCACATTGACCCAGGGTACAAAGATTGGTTGTGCTCTTACACTGACACTGACAATGCAAAGGAGAAGTGGATTTTTTAAATGTCCAGTTTTCTTTGAAAGTAAAACAAGTACATCCCTGAGCTCATTCACCACCCCACGAAGAGCCCTAGCGGCTGTCTGGTGGTAGCCATGCGGCAGCAAGTCTACACTGAGCCAGGTTAAGGGGATCATGAGCTAGGTTACTTTTGTCTCAATTTCCTGAGAACCAGAAATCATACAGCGTCTTCTGCATATGATTTTAATTTATGGAGCTACTATTACATACATGTTATAATCAAATTTATTGGGAGGTAGGGATGATTTTATCAAATTTACTAGCATTATCAGCATGCTTAGGGAATTTGTTCGTGTTTAGGTGACAAGATGAGATCCGTAGCCTCTGGGATCACAGCCCCTCTGAAGAAAGGGGCTGCAGCCTCAAGTCACATACAGTGCATTTTATCACCAAAGATTCCATTCTAGAACATTCTAGACACTCATTATTCTCTTAAACTTTTTAATTGTGAAATATATAACACAGAGAAGAAAATATATAATGTTACTTGTATATTCTACAATAATAATAGTTAAAGGAACACTCAGGTAATCACCACTCAGATTAAGAAATAGAACCTGTGGTTCCATTATGTTTCATCTAGTTGGCAAAAACCACATTCTGCATTTAATGCCTTTCAGTTCCTTTATTGTTTTACCATACACATATATATAACATATTGCTTAGTTCTCACTGTTTTTGGACTTTATATGAATGAAACTATATGAAACTACTTTCCTGCCCCAACCTTACATTCAAGACATTATTCCATCTTGATATGTGCAGCTACACGTCATTCATTTTCACTGACACGTAGTATATTCTCACCATAAGAATATACCACATTTTTGTTACCTGTTATATTTTTGATGGACATTTGGGTTTTCCCTTCAGGAGCTTTAAGAACTCACATAAACAGTGCTGCTACGGACATTTCAAAATGTGTCTGTAGCCACACATGTCCAAGAGTTTCTCTAGGATATATATCTGAGAGCTGCTGTGGGATAAGGTATGCCTAGGCCCAATTTTATTAGATAAATCCAAATTGTTTTCCAAAGTAATTGTACCAGTTTATATTCCCTCCAGCAGGGGTTAAGTGTGCCTGTTATTCCATATCCTGGTCAACATTTTATACTTTCTAAATTTTTGCTAATCTTGAGGTACGACTTTTTTTCCCCATATAGACTAGCTCTTGATCTTACCTCAAATGGTTGTTGATGTCCTTAGTCTGTTTTTCTATGAACTCTCTTTTACTTGTTGATTCATAGAATTACTTTCTATATTCTGGAACCCCAACTATTGTCCATTATGTGCATTGTCAATATATTTCACTATTTTGTAGCCATTTACTCTCCTATGATGTGTTTTGATGAACAGATGTTCTTAATTTTAATGCAGTCACATTAATTAATCATTTGCATCTTTTGTGACTTTTTCAAAATTCTTCCCTACCCTACAGTTAAAAAGACATTGGATCTGAAATGTCAGCTCTGTCTTATATTATGGGTCTGTTTTGCTCTCTATTCTGTTCCACTAGACCAAGCCACACTGTCTCAGTTACTGAAGCTTCATAATAAGCCTTGATCATCTGGCAGGCCAAACAGAGCTCCCTCTGAAAATATTTTTAGCTTTAGAAACAATATAATGAAAATAGGAACTAGAACTTACTTTGCTCTGGGTTGATGAACTAATCCTGGAATCTCTTTATTAGTTTTAAGTCTCACATTTGAACTGGCACTTTTTTCCTGAAACACATAAACACACACATATAGAAGACAAGATGAGAATCAGCAATTAGACTATAGCATGAATTTTCATTACAAGAGATGTAGATTTGTTTGGGACCCTGCACAAGTGGCCCTTTCACGAGAACAGAAGTACTTGCAAAAATGTTCCACAGTACAGGTAGACCTGCCAAACCGTTTCACAGTGCACATCGCTACGAAAAGAAGAAGTAGTTTCACAACAGCTGTGACTTTTTTTTTAGAAAGGTAAGTACAATTAATACTTGATGTTTATTTTAGGTGTTTTTAGGATTGGAAATAGGAAGAGAGTCAGAGAACAGAAGATTCTAGGGCAAAAAAGAACAACAGCAGGACAACCATAGCCATTGTTTACTTGCCCAGGTGAGCTGACTTCCATGCATTTTATTTGTAAAAGATAACGGCAATTTCCAAGACATGAAGTTTGCAAAAGGTCCCAGCAGTGGCAGGGACAAAAATATGACCAAAAAAAACTAAGAGTTTCCACCCACAACAAATAGTGGGATTGAATTTAATTCAATTAACAAAATTCAATATTGGGCTGTATTCAAGAAGCACTTAGTCCTTTGGACTGATTGCATATCATTTCAACCACATAGAAAAGAAACACTCTCAAATTGTAAAATATACATCTATCAGTAGACACACTATCTTAGTAAAACTACTGCTCTGAAATTTTAAATGATTCTTAAAAATATTCAAAGTGCATTATAATGCACTCTCAAAACATATCCCCGAAAGGAAATGTTATTATACTCTATTTAACAGGTGACTATAAGCAGTTGACCCTTGAACAACATGGATTCAAACGGTGTGGGTCCATTAATACGTAGATTTTTTTCAAATATAATGGAAGTTTTTTGGAGATTTGCAACAAACTTAAAAAAACTTTTCTCTAGCTTACTTTATTGTAAGAATACAACACATAATACATATAACATACAAAATAGGTGTTAATCGACTTTTTGTTAACAGTAAGTCTTCCAGTCAACATCAGGCTATTAGTGGTTAAGTTCTGGGGAGTCAAAAGTTATACAGGGACTTCCAATTGAGCAGGGTGTCAGCATCCTTCATCCCTTCATTGTTCAAAGGTCAACGGCCAGAATGAAGCCTCCTGCGGGCCCACCCACCATCTCAGCATATGCATGCGGGATGGCACATAAAACAGAGCCCCAAAATGAACTCTTTCAAGAGTTCCTATTTCTCCTAGGACAACAGAAGCCGTTTAAGTCAGTGAAACTCCAATGACTTTTGCTGTAGTTGTTTTTTTTTTTACCATCAAACAAAATTATCTGTATTAACGTTAGTACATCAAAATATACGGTGATTTTGTTTGTGATTTCTGGGAAACAAAACAATCATTACAATTCTTTTGCAGTCTGTCTTTTGCAACTTCTTTATCTCATGTTAAACTTCAGAATATTTTCATGAACATTTACAATGTATAAATTATATACTGCTTCCTCCACTGATGTTGTCCGGGAACAACAGGTGAGCTACCTTCATTTTTGCAAAGCAGATGGGAGAAATTAGAAACCTCTAGTGCACCAACATAGGAGGGCAGGGACAACATCCTCCCTTTACCACTGGGGCCAAAGCGCCTGCCCACGTGCTTGGTGCTGCATAAAAGGTGCTCATCAAACATCGGCAGCATGAGAGAACAATGTCAACAAGTGATGAGCTGCTTTTGAACAGTCAGAGATAAAATGAGCTCATATAACAGAGATAAAAATAGCTCAAAATATCAGGACTGAAGAGCTAGGTTCCCAAATCAGAAACGATTTTCCCTACACTGTCTGTCCTCTTAGAGTAAGCATCGCAAATGGACATATCTGATGTGACAGGGCCTTATTCCATTTTCTCTATTCCCATAATTTCCCAAACTTTTTGAGCTTAAATGATAGGCAGTAACTTTAAACATTGCTGAGGCAGGAAAGCAGCTTCTAAGACTATAGGGGACATACAATTGTATGCTGTTTACATACATACAATTGTGTCATACGTACAATTGTACTTACTAAACTGTACCCTTCATAATTATATTGCTTCACCAAATCTTCCTTTAAACACGTTGTGTTGTTGCTAAGAAAAGAAGGAACCCCCAGAACAACAGAGATTCGATGGATGGGCAGGGCAGCCTTGCCCATGGGAGGGAAGAGTCATTGGTGAGTGATCCCACTCCGGAAGCGAGTGCACCAAAAGGGTAGCAGCTGCAGCTTTCCCGGTCACAATTATATATATATACACACACACTTTATGTATATAGAATTTTTTTTATACATACTATATATATATATATATATATAATTACATAGCAATCTATTATGTATTGATAATGTATTTGGTTTTATAAATTACCAATCCCTAAGATCAATAATAACAACTTGCTGAGCACAACCTCAGGCACTATTCTAAGTGGTTTACATACTGTAACTCACTTTAATGTACACAAATATTTACATACATCACTTATTTTTATGCCCATGATACCTCTCTGATGGTCCCAGTATTATCCCCATTTTATAGACGAGGAAGTTGTGGCATTGAGAGGCAAAGCACATATGTGACCTCATGTAAGTGATAAGTGATAGTTTGGGGATTTGACCCCAAGCAGAATGGCCCCAGAGTCCATGCCACTGGCCTCTAGGCCAGCAGTTCTTATGCTTAGTGTAACAAATCACATTTGTTAAAATCACCAGCAATCTCATCAGAAAAATCTTGACAGAAGTTGTCAAACACCATGGTGGTATAAAGTTTTCCAAAATTCTGGTTTTGGTTCAAAGTTTGGTTCAGACACTGTCAACAAACACTGCCAATTGTTTTTTCTGAAGTGATGGGTTCTCTCCATTCATTTTGAAGAAAACGTCTGCCATATCCTTATGTCTGCATATCCTCAATTTGTCTGTCAGTCATTTTTTGCCAACATTAAAGACAGTGTTCCATAAAAAAAACTGCTAGTTCAGTTTGCGACTAAATCAATGGCAGAAGGGCTTTTCCTTGAGATAAAGACACTTGATATTTATTGTCTTTGATTGCTGCCATTCCAGTGGGCATCTCATTGTGGGCTTTATTATTTTAAAAACGGGATTACTTGGAGTTGTTCTTCTAATTCTTTGCATCCCTAAGGACATCAGCACCTTGGCACATGGAAGCATTTTGTACTTGTGTCAAGAAGTTATACTTGCTTATGAACATCATTTAATTTCTACTCTGGGTTTGTTTGTTGGGGAAGGGGAGCTTGAAAGAGATCTGCTTTAAAAATGAAAAGCATCAAACAAAAACCAAACCAAGAAGGGATGAAGGAAGGACAAGGTCGATGGGGGTCTCAGTGGGGCAGAGCCAACAGAGAGTGCGGAGCGCCATACGTCTGGGGTGCTTCAGGAACAGAAACAGATAATTAAATTGGAGGCGACACAAGAGGTAACTAAGATATTGTTTTCCTTGGAAAAAACAAACAAACAATTTTAATGGTACCTTACATTTGTGAATTCAATAATATAATAATAAGCTGTAATAAACTGGGACTAAGTGGAAACAAGATGAAGACATTGAAAGTGTCAATAGCAGGTAGTTTGTAAAGCTGAGTTTTTCATGATCCATCCATACTTGTATCAGAATCATTTGGGATGCTTGTTAGAATACAGATCCCTGGGCCCCACTCAAGATGTCCTGAGTGTGAGCCTCTGGGATTGAGGCCCAGGAACCTGCATTTTAAACAGGAGTCCTGGATGACTTAACTCTAAAAAAGTTTGAGAATGTCTATTTCAGAGAAAAGATACTTCCTGTTTAGGGTTCCCCCAGTTGCAGTGTTCAAACTGAGCCCCGGGGTTCTGAAGAGCTGCCTCGGAGCTCAATGAGAGGCCAAGCAGAGCAGCAACCCCTTCAACTGTTCTACACTTGGGGGCTCCTTCAGTTGAAAAAAAGCATCCATTTCTCAAAAAATGTTTGCAAACTAATGTCAGAAAGTGAGAGGATTATTTAAATGGCAAATCAAACAACTTTCTCCTTTGCCTGGAATAATTTTAGTTCTTTAACAACAGAACATGCTTGTCAGTGTCTAGAGTGAACTTACACTCTCCTCTCTTAGTTTCTCTGAGGCTGGAGACAGTCAAACCAGCTGTGTTTAAACGCTGCTGCTCCCCAGGCCCTGGGTGGCATCTCTCAACTGGAGAGTCCGGAATACCAAGAGAAACTAACAGCTTCTTTAAGGATTGCCTCAAAAATCAGCTCCTTAGTTTCGAAGGGAGCAACACAGTGTGGTCAGGAAGCTGCCTAAAAGCTCCCCACTGCCCCTACTGGTGAGAGATGGAACTCCCTTTTTCGTATCACTTAGCCTTTGTTCTCCCACTGAGTCCGAGAGAATGCAGGCAGCTGCAGTCCTGTGAAGCTCCCTGAGCTGATGCTGGGTTAGAAATGTGAGGAGGAAGATCATTTTCTTTTTCAGGGCCCAGCAGTAGGAAGTTCTGTCTCATAAAGAAACCCCAGGGACCAGATGGATGCAGGATGCTGGAGGCCTAGAGAAAAGCAATGGGAGAAATAGCTCCTAGGGCTGCCAATGAGGGACCATACAGAGAACAGAAGCAAAGGCACTAAATGGGATCTCAAAGGGATCCCCCTACACGCAGACTGTGTGTGTGTGTGTGTGTGTGTGTACATTTGAACCACTGCATTTCAGAAGTACATAAAAACTAGAAAAGGTAAATTACGTTAATCAACTAGAATTAGGAGATTATTTTGGGGGGTACACACATACACATGTGTCTAAAATAGGAACATACTCAGCTATAAAGGAAATGAGTAATCATTTCAGTTTTGGGGGAGTAACCCATATGATGCACTCTTGAAGAAAACAACCTCATTTGATGTTTTATTAATGATTCCTCATGGGGTATTAACATGAGATGGGGACACCGCCCCCTTCAAATACAAAGGAATGTTAGCTGAGCCACATTCACTCCACCAGTATTTCTAGATGTTCATGC